AGGGCGCGGTGCCCCGTGTCGCCGCAGGCCCGGCCCCTCACCTCGGCCAGCACGTTGAGGTCGCAGTCGGTGATCAGACACGCCATCTCCAGGATCTGGTCCTTCTCCACGTCCAGGCCCGTCATCTGCCGGGGACGAGCGGCAGCGTCAGCGCGCCCGGGGCCCGCACCCCGTGCGGTCCCGTGCGGTCCCGTGCGGTCCCCCCCGCCCCCCGCCGCCTGCCCGCACCTCCAGGTCCACCCAGACCATGCGCTGCCCCATGTCACCGCCGGCCATGGCCGCCGCCCTCCGCCGGCCCCCGCACAGCCGCCCCGCGCAGATCCGCAGGCGGCCCAGGCCGGCGCGGCCGCCGCCCAGCATCGCCGCGGCACTACAGCTCCCAGCGGCCCCCGCGCCGCCGCCCGCGGTCCCCGGGGGAGGAGCGCCGCAAGGGCTGCTGGGAGATGTAGTCCGGGTTCGCTCGGAGCGCTCCTCCCGTTACCGGTCCCACGGAACCGCTCCGCTCCCCGCCGCAAAGCGGGGGGGGGGTCACCGGGGGCTTTCCCAGGGAGGCTTTTAATGTTCTCCAACACAATATTGTAATATTTTAAATTATAAGGAAGGGGTTCAAATTGAAAGAGTAGGTTTGGATTACGTTAGGAATTCTTCAGTGTGTGAGGATGCTTAGGCACAATAACAGATCACCCGGAGAAGCTGTGCATGCTCCATCCCTGGAGGTGTTCAGGGCCAGGTTGGGATGGGGCTCTGAGCAGCCTGGTCTGGTGGAAGGTGTCCCTGCCAGTAGCTGGGACAATGAGGAGGTCAGGGTTCGAATGGGGTGGTCATCAAGGTCCGTTTCAACCCAGACCATGCTGATTTTACAACCGTATCAAAAATATGAGGAATGTTGCAGATGCTGGGCAGCATCCATCCCACCTCTACCCTGCCTAAAAGGCTGGACCCCTCCATGTGATACAGATGTCCCCTTCTCCTAAAAACGTACTAACAGCACTTCTCTGTGACACAGGGACAGAGGCAGTGGCYTCTCCAAAACTTCACTACAGCTTTTTTACCCCATGAAAAGCCCTGAGCTGTGAGTTAACACATTTAATACTGACACCAGAGTTTGGCAAACTGCACTGCTAATATTTTTTACAAACACTAAAAGGTGACTTCAGCTGGGGTTTGGGGGGGTTTTAAACTGGGGTTTTATACATGCACTGGTGAGAAACATGACATTTGTTTTGCCCTGGAGTCCATCAATGGCGCGCCGAGTGCCACYTGGGCTCTCGGTAGCCCTCCCTGCGGTAGTCGTAGCCCCAGCTGTCGCGGTGCCTGTCGTCGTAGAGCTCGTCACGCCCGCCCCGGTAGTGGTGCTCGCYGTCGTGGCTCCTCTCGTCGAAGCCGTACTCGTCGCGTTTGCCGCGGCYGTAGTCGGGGCCGCGCTCCCCGAAGCGCTCGCGGCCGAAGTGGCGGCTCTCGGGGGGGTAGGGGTGGCTCCCCAGCCGGGCCTTGCGCAGGGAGGGACCCTCGGGGCGCCGCGGGCCCGGGGAGCCCGGCGGGGTGTGGAACGCGGGGGGATAGCCCGGAGGGGCAAAGCCGGGATCGAATTTGCCACCGAACGGGGGCTGCTGCCGAGCTGCGCTGTTCATCTGCAAGGGAAAGAAACGCTGGGTTGGTGTTTGTGTGAGCTGAACCCTGGGTTTGGTGTGAGCT